TGACAGACCTGGATCATTGTGAACCTGATGTCCCAATTGGGTGACTCGCGGATAGGAGTGTACCGATCGCTGTACCTCTCGGTGCTGTTCACCACTGACTCCATACCACTCCTGTGTATTGGCTATGGATGGCAAGAGTGAGTGATGACAGACACAGACATATGAATGGTATACCGAATTGAATGGTGTGGAGGGTGTGGGTGTGGATGAGTTGGTGATGTTAGTGGTGTCACCTTGGCACTGCTGGTTCAGTGGACTTAAAGTCCGTAAAAGTCTCTTCTCGTAAATCTTATTCATTTGACTATTATTTACAAAACAAACACTAATTGAAATGAAATGATATTTATATTTATCAAATCATATCAATAAATACAATAATAATGCAAAATATGTACTAATTATATAAACAGTGAATGCAATCAAACGGAAAGTATTATTGCGATGAATCACACAAACAATGGCATCAATTCATTGTTACAATGAGTGGCGATTGCATTGTAATCACAATCACTGAGTGTTCACTACAATCACAATTAGTCTGTAACTGTAATACAATATAGCAGTGAATGTGTGTAAACAGTGCAACAGTCATACGAATGATGAGTAAATGGCAATCGGAGTAATGGCTGAGTGGAGCACACATTTAAATGGACGAATGAGCACACCATTGGTGAAACACATTTAAAGGCATCACATGCGCCCTCCCATTGGTCCACACAATCACCGCTGGCTTCGAATCATTGCATTTGTTTTGTTTATAATGTCATCGATTTCCACATGATTTGCATTGCATTGCAATTAATGCCAAATAGAGACACATTTCACTCATTCCGATGACAACCACGTGTTGGTGACCCATATGTCCCACCAGACAGAGGTGGAGGTGCTGTCCGCCCACACCTCCGAGCTCACTACTGTGCCCTGCGTTCAGTTGAGTGTGAACAATGTGACCCATTGGTGGCCACATGTCCTCCAGTCCATCAACGCCTCCCATTTCGTGGCCATCGACCTCGTGAGCAGCCATTTATGTCATTAGTCTAACCATTGATTGATTCATTGATTCATTTGTGACCACTGTTTAGGAGTTGAGTGGTTTGGGAGCCAGAGATCGACTCAATGCTAAGTAATGGACGCTTTTATTGATTGATTACGCGATGGCTAACGAATTGTCGTATGAATTGATTTGTATTTAAAGGAAAATCGATGAAAGATATGAAGGAGTGATGTCTGCGGCCAAAAGCCGGTCCATCGTATCGGTTGGACTCGCATTCTTCAGCTTCTCTGCCAATGACTGCAACCAAACCATAGTTAACAACATCTGTGACACTAAGTACGGGACCAGTTGTGAGACAAATGTCAACTCTGCGCCATCGTTGAGTAACTGTATCTCCGATTGTGTGGAAGACATGAACCGCTTTGAGAGACTACTCGACACACAACTCATGGATAAACTCGACGATCAGACCAATGGATGCAATGGAAGTGATCTAAATAGTGGTGACAATGAGTGGAAGATTAATGCGGAAGTGTTTAACGCATTGTGTCTTTGCGATGAGGAGTATGTGTGCGAACCCGAGACCATGCGATTCCTCGCCGGTCATGGATTTGACTTCAATGGCCAGTGTCTGCACGGATTGTCT